GCAGCAGCAGCAGCAGCAGCAGCAGCAGACCTGAGGTGGAGGGGCCGCTTCCAAATGCCGTCGTCTCTGTTGTCTTCCCTCTCTGAATATCATCATTGGCTGCATTATTATTATTGCTGCTGCTGCTGCTGCTGCTGCTGCATTCCTTTTGTGCTGTTGAGGTGTATCTGCTTGCTGCTGTTGTTTGTCTTCCTACAGACCGGCTTTGTGCTGTTGTTAGCCTCCCGCTCTTGCTTCCTAAGTTGCTATCTTCTTTTCTATGTTTCTCTGCTGTATTATATAATTCAATAAACTGACGCTGCACATCCTGGTGTATATACACCCCAAACAACAAACACAAACACACGCAATTCGATCTATTATTCTACTGCTTATCTTCACAACGCTATCTCTTACACATTAAACCCTAAACCCTAAACCCTAAACCCTAAACCCTAGAGGTAAATAAGTATATGCATTTTGTAAGGGAAACACTTAAAGCCCTACACCCTAAACCACAAACACTAAACAAAAATACAAGGCGCACACCAGCTGCGAAACAATCAACACCCTAAACCCTAAACCCTAAACCCTAAACCCTCATCGCCTGGTGGTCCCTCGCCTTACATTTTGTTTTGCTGCCTCTGTAAACCGCACGGAATACAAATTTCCGGAGGCCGTCAGCATTTCTAATATCCTGCAACCGCCAATCAAACCCTAAACCCTAAACCCTAAACCCTAAACCCTTATATATATATATACATATATATATATATATATATATATATAAGCCTTATAGGCTTATGCTATCGTCTAGCCCCAGAATTAAATTGCTTATCCAAAGTGCAAACCCTAAAACACCCGCGTAGATGGAGGATATAAACCCTAAACCCTAAACCCTAAACCTAAAGCCTTAAAACCCTAAACCCTAAACCCTAAACCCTCACTTTTCAAGGAGCTGTTCAATCTGAAGGAGATCGTCAGTGACGTCTGCTCGGGGGCCTCTAAGTCGAGCGAGGCGAACAATATTATTGCACTGAAGAAAAAGAAAAAGAAGAAAATAATAAAAGATAAATATATAATATTATTCATGAAACTTGCAATGATAATGATAGAGAAGGCAGCTGGATGTACACCCCAATATGTTATAGGGGAAATGATATTATTAAATAAAATTAAAAGATTTAAAAGATAAACAAAAAAATAAAAACAAATAAACAAATATAATAAATAAACACATAAACAAACAAAACAAATAAAATCATCACCAGCAAACAAACAAATAAACAAAAAAATAAAGTATATAAAACAAAATAACAAACAAACAAACAGACAATCTAATCAAAACAAACACCAGATAAATAAACATAATATAATTAAATTAGTTAAATGAAGAAAAGCCTCTTTGACTTGAAATATAAATAAACAAACAAAGAAACAAGCAAACAAACAATCTTATGGAAATAAACACCAGACAACTGAATAAACTATAATTAAATTAAATTAATTAAACTAATTAAATCAATTAAATTAATTAAATTAATTAAATTAATTGAATAAAGACAGACCTCTTTGACTTGAAAGATAAGCTCTTCAATTGCTGTAGACGATTTTTTGGCTTCTTTCTGAGATTCCATTTTCTTATGTAAATCTTGCAGCATATTTGTTGTTAGCTGAGTACAAAGATAGTAGCAGCAGTTTAAATTTAAATATATATAAGTCTATTAAAAGTTTATTTAATTCTTCTTCATAAACAAAACACAATAAAACAAATTAATTAAAAAAAAAACATAAAAATAATATTCAAGATGCAAAAAAAGCGTAAGAAAAACTACGATATAAAATTTGTTTAATTAAAAAAGAATAAAGCATTGATGCATATATATAAATAGATATTTTAATTAATTAATTAATTAATTTAATTTAATTTAATTAATATTTCTCTTACCCTCCATGAGCAAAAGATCAGACGGTGTTG